CACTGCCCTGCGCCATCTCATCCGGTCAATACGAGAAAAAGGTTGGGAATCCCTGATTTCAACCATTGGTTTTGCGAAGCGCGCGCTCGGCCCCGGTCCAGTCCAGTGTGCGGCGGGCGTTCGTGAGGCGGGCGGCCGCCGCGGGGCGCTGGTCGAGATGCGGATCTTTCGAGTCACGGAGACACTCGCGTCGTGGCCCCGTGGTCGACCACGATGATAACTCGTGAATTCCGAACTCGGCGAGGAGCCGATGTAAAGTTAATATCTTAAGAGACCGCACAAGCGTAGATCAAATAACCGCTCCGAACGTCTCGTATCAATGGCGTAGCCCCGCCACAAACGCCCAGTCATCCAATTTACTTGTGCGGCGCGGCACGGCTCGCAGCGGCCTGGTATTATGCTGTTCGAAGCCGCAGTGATTCCTACGATGAAACCTCCGTATATGCGCCTCGTAGCCCTTTGCAAAATGTAATGCGGACATGCGACATTCGATTCCTCCAAGATCTCGCATTCTGAAAACTAGTTGTTGGTCGAAAAATCTTAATATTCACTATTTTGTCTTCCAGTCCTGTGCTTCTCTTTGTTCTATTGCTATAATCTAATCTTCCAAGCGCTTTACATTTATATTATTTCAACATATGTATCATAACGTTGCATAACAAATTTCATTCACATTTCTTACATTTACACATATAGCTAATAGCATCTGATTTAATTACAATGAAACATATCCCGAAAATTAACCGATGGGTGTTTGACTTTTCACAATTAACGTTTCTCGTTTTTCCCATAAAACGTAATATTTTATTCCCACAATATTATATTTCACAGTTGTGTAATGTTCACGGTATTAGAGAACATTCCGGGCTGCCGATTAGAAACAAAAGAGCAAATCACACATCTCAGGTAGTGATTTGTTATATAACTTAGCAAACGGATTTACTTTTAAATTAGACTAGAGTAAATGGAAATGTGTTCATTAGATGATGTTGAATTACCTTCGTCTCAACAAGTAAATACTTCAAACAGAACCAAATCAAGATCCCCAAAAGATATCTTCACACCTTCCTTAAAACAAAACACAACTAGAAACTCCTAAATGTCTGACAATCTACCTATTCTCTTTTCCCGAATTTTAAATTAACACCATTCAAACTAAACCAAAAATATAATATACAGAACTTGCCAAATAAGACACACGAAATACATTTAGGAAGTTTCCACACCATTAATGTATCATGTTTCTCATTTCAGTAAGGCCTTTTGATCGATCGGATAAAAATAAATTTTAAAAATAGAATTACCTTTTTTGCGACTTTCATTCCTGAGAGAGACCGAAAAATATTCTAGATTATTTGGAATCAATTACTTTTAGATACAAATGTCAATAAATGTTTAGTTGAAATGGTGTTGTCCCCTCCCCCCAAAAAATAGAACGGAATTGAGATTAATGATTTCCAAACTTTTTTCTAATGAAAATGTTCCTTCCTCAATTTTATCTTTAACCCAAGAGAACGGGCAACTTTCCGTTTTAATAAACTTGCACCTTCCTTACCACATTTACTTATCCAAATAAAGTATAATGTGAGCTTTCTTAACTTATGAGTCTTAGAAAAATGAAAGAAGGAAAAAAAGTTTTCTGAGGCAAGCATTATTCTCGCAATAGTAATTACAAAAAAAGGATGTCAAGTACCAAAAAAGTGGACAATTTGATAAGACGACCATGTTCAAAGAAAAAAATCAAGTATTTATGATAAATCGTTTTAGTTTTTTACGGTTTTCATAATGAGCGTCATCAAAGGCGTCTCCGCAACGGAATGTTTCACTTTTAAGTAGAGAATTATTTTAAGATCATAAAATTATCCTTAAATTTATGGCAATTATTTATGATCTATAATATTATTTTGAGTTTTCACAATTATCGTACATTTTATAAGTGCTTTACGTGTTAAACATTAAATTCTAGACGAGAGTAATGTTTGCAAACACACACACGAACTAAGAACGCAAACCGGACCTTCAGAATATGTTTACAAGTGCACTCCACGATTTTAAATATTTTGCACCTCAAGTGCGGTGCCAAACGCCGAGGAAAAAAAATGCAAAAAACTGTGAGAACAGAAAACACCTCTTTTACCAAACAATGCGGAAACGAGAATATTACGTTTTTCAGGTGGTTATCACCAGGCTTCCACGTCGGTGGCAGGGGGTTGCGGAGTCCCAGCGTCATTTAGCAGAGCTGTCGCTTTTAGTGCAATTAGCGCGCGTTTCACTAAGTACAAATGCAGTATTGTTCGCACGCGGCGGAGTGTGACGGGCCGACCCGTGCCCGCGCACCGGCTGTGAGTGCGCAAGCTGGCTGCGTAGAGCGAAGGGGAGGGGGGGGGGCGCGGATTCGACGGAGCAGGTCTGCAGCGAAAGCGAGCGTAGAGTCTAGGGCAAGCTCCTAGGACGGAGTGCCGCGCGGAGAGGTTATCTATCAATTCTTAACTGTTAACAATTGCATTACTGTGTCTATACTATTACAGATTTTACCGAGAATAAAAAGGAAAGTAATATTAATTTTTATAACGTTATATAATGTATTAATTACCATTTAGACTGTATAATTCTAAACAATCTGTAACAAGTATAGGCTCAGATCCTGTGACAATAGTCCTTCTCTCGGTTGGGTCTTTCGTCCAGTTTCCCTGATTCTTGAGCGAATGCTGAGATGGCCCCTTGTTTTGCTTCTGGACATAAATGTAGACTTACATTATCTCTGCATGTCTTGTAGAGTTCATTGGGAAATATAGTTATTCAAATTAATGTTCCATGATGTCACGAAGGACACAATGAGGGAATAAGAGCCCAAATCTTTTGCTGATTTGCCCTTGAAAATATATTTATTACACCGGAGCAAATATTTTATCTATTCGGACCAAAAATTTCATTTTCTTCTGCATTCATAATTCAACATTTTTATACCTGAGGGTTAGGATCCCAGAATTAATAAAACCTGCACAGAATACTCTTCTCCGCGTAGCACTTCACACAATTTTTTACTGTTTTTAACGTAACATAATGAAATAAATAAATTTACCGTAAAAAAGTTTAAATGATACGTACGATATGTGCACGTTTTCTTGAGCTCGGGATTACCCCAATTATTGCAGTTATTTTTAAACTTTGTTAAATTAGGAATAAGGTAGGAAGCAGCATTTGATAATAAGGAATATTATTTCCTGTGTAATAGAAAATTGTTTCAGCGACAATTGAGCTACAAATGGATAAGAACGCACAACGAGGGTTTTCGGCAAGATTTGCACATCCATCATACCGTAGACCGATATCTTAGAGTGAAAGTGAAGGATTGTAATGTAGGGAGAGAACAGCGGAATCGCAGGCTGGGAGCGGAGGATGGGTACAGGGGTGGAATAATACCCATGCAGTCTAAGCACATGCTTACGGCCCTGCTGGATATGAGCTACCAATCATTTTTTAACAATTTTTTTTTCTTTCGTAAATATTTACAAATAGTTTTCAGATATTTATTAACAATATCAAAAAGTTAATATAAATTTTCTTTATTCTAAATTCTATACACGCATTAAAGAAAATTGCTGCGCAAAAGAATAGACGAAAAATATTTTAAGTTAAATTTGTTTGCAACCATCTGTGTACATTACTAATCTCCAAAGCGAGCAGAAATTAACAGAAATCTATGCAGTCCCAGGCAATATCAGACGTTTTTGTGGTTTCATGAGATACCCAGGAACTCGGAAAAATCCCAAAACAATGAAACAGTTTTAAAGCTCACTAAAAAAGGCAAATAATTGATTGGGAAATTCCGCTTATTTTCACACTCAGTGCGTCATTGCTGACTTGACGTTGAGCAGTTTTGTTTGGCATCAAAAAGCTGCAGAAAGCCAATGCAAAAGATCAATTTCCTAGTGATATCCTTTCTTGAGAACCCTGGAATTCTCTGTCGCGTTTTGACCCTCCCTTGATCCATTCTATTCCCTCTCGATCTATAGATCTGTACTCACGATTTACTTGCTAAGATGGTCCCTTGACTTGTATTTAAACAATTATAAATGCAGTATTTATTTCCACTCACATAAATGTTAAATGTAGATGAGTACTGTATCACATGTTAAAAAATAGAATAGAGAAGTCATTGCGTATTGCCTCGTGACTGTAAACATAGTCACCCGCCCCTCTTGCATGTAAATCTACAAAATTGTTGTTTAAAAATGATTGTATGGATAAATAAGTATATTAAAAAGGAAAAAAGATAGAATATCTGACCGAAGCACTAGAACTCTATAGAATCACATTTGGAATTTAAATATTGCTCACCAATCCTTGCTAGCAAGAATTATTTAATATACCTTAAGTGAGGGCATTTCCAATCTATCCACCATTCCATGACAAATGCTGGGGACAGCGATATGTGCTGCCTTTTAGTGTACCACAGTTGTAATAAAATACATCTGGCCACAAAGCACAGCTGTTTTCCTAATCAACATGTCATATGACAGAAGACAAACTCATCACAAAGAGACTATTCTTTAAAACAATTATATTTAACCTTGACGTAGTACAATGTTTGTGTATGTGTGTACGTGTGTGTGTGGGGGGGGGAGGATGTGTGTGTGTGTGTGTGTGTTAAGCATTTCATCTCCCAGCTTCTTCTCCCGCCAATGAGTGCAACCCGAGGCGGGGTCGGGATGTTAAGCAGCGGACGCCAGCGTTCATCCCACTTCACTTATCCGGTGCATTAGAAGCGCCGCCACTTCCAGGGAGTGCGTGGCAGAGACTCGGGGACGGGAGACACGCAAATGATTTTAGCAAATTGGACGGCGCCGACTTCAAAGGCGAAGGCGTCGCGCTTGGCTTGGCCCAGGGAAGAGGCAGGAGCGCGCGCCTGCTAATAAAAGGCGGCAGCGGAGGCGTTGGCGGCACGGGGAAGGAAAAAGGAGAAGAGGTGGGGAAGGAAGAGGCGGATGAGAGGAAGAATGGAGAAAGAGGGAGGAGACGAGGAAGAGAAGGAGGTAGTTGAGGAGGTGGGCAAATTGCGTAGATGGTGACGGATGCTATTGCAGTGAAAAGGGTTTGCGAAAATATGAATGGGATGCTCATTTTGGATGTTAGGAGGGATATTGTGTAGGTGGTGTTGGTGGTAACGATGATTATTCTAATAAGGCACAAGGTAGCGGTGAAGGCGGCGGTGAACGGGGTGGTAAAAAAACTAAGAATAGCATTTTTCGACGATATTACTCAGTGTTCAATAGGAAGTAGCTCAGATTGCAATGAGGATGTGTGTGTGTTAAGCATTTCATCTCCCAGGTTCTTCTCCCGCCAATGAGGCAACCTAAGGCGAGGTCGGGATGTTAATCAGCAGACGTCACATAATGTATTTTTCTTCTTGTACTGTCTCGCCTGCTACATACTCATGTAGTAAAGAGAAACTGCTGTAAAGGTGCAGCGGGACGGGCAGACAGACATAGACGTTTTGTCTCAGCCAATGTTTCGGTATCAAAGAACCATAAAACGTGAATTCTGACGTTAAATAACGAATTAGAGAAAGTAATTTACTACATTTTATAGTAATAGTTATACATTCTTTAGATGTCTGAGACCCAAAATACTAGTTTTCCTTGTCGAAAAATCGGCATTATCAAATTCAGCATTACACAACGTTTTTTACTATTCCTATTTTATTTATTCCTATCTCTCGCATTGAATTACAGAAATCTCTTAATTTCTCACGTCACTTGAACATTCTAAATTGTGTGGCGAAATGGCACGATCCATGATTATAGTAATACGTTCGTCAAACGTTCAATAGTCGGAGTTGCGCATTTTACTGCACGAGCAGTGAAGGAAAGAAATACAATTTTCAACGATTTCAGTTCATTCAGTAAATGTGCAATAAATATTTTCATTTTGAGGAGACATAAAACAAATTTAATGTCAGAAAAAGTATACCCATCATCGATATTTGTAGATGCAAAAGTTTATCTCAAGCCACTGAAAATTGAATTGCGAATACTATCGTATGAGTCGTGTAAACATTTATGTCCGATTCTTTAATATTTGCTCAAGATATCGTGTTAAAGTACACACTCAAGAGCACACAAACATACTTCTAAACGTACTCTTTCCCACACATTATACACATAATATCAATCGTTACGTCTCCTGATCAGTGAATGACACCACGTAATATATCTGTGAGCTTTAACGTCTACCAAATCGTCCTATTTTTATTTACCCAGCTGTTTGTCCGGTCATTCATCTAATTTCTCTCCTGTACGATATTCCAAATGTTGCATTACTGTTTTCATTTATTTTCGGTATCGAGTGTAAGCCTGTTATAATTCGTTCAGTATTGTCCTACACAATACAGAATGATTATCAACTCAGAAACAGTTGATCGTGGTGTGTATGTAAATACGTTTGGGGCGAATAAATTAAGTTTACAAATCTTTTCATCTCATGTAACCGGCGTGATAATCCTCGAAGTGGTAAGACTACTACCCGCTGAAATTTTATTCATAACTGTTTATTAAGGTGCTATTTGTTATTAGTAACAATTATGTTTTATACTTCACTCATTTATTGTGTATACTCTTAATAAAATGTACCTGTAATTCTGTCCGCAATGGCTGATGAAGGCTGAATTTATGACTTAAACACATCTAAACCACATAATAAAATACGAATGGGGTTTTGATGGCTTCCTTCGTTTCCCATTGTCAGAATTGTGTTTATGTTTTCAATTAGATCCATAAAATTATAGTTCCGTTAATACTGCTACTATTTTTACTGTGATAATTTAATCACCGATATTGAAGATTAAAGATACACCCAACGATTTTAATTCTCTATTTTTTCTCCTAATTCGGCACTCTCCTGTGATGCCGGGTATATATTAGTTAAGTTACGAAGAATACTAATTTCTGCAAATTGAAAATTGATTTTTATTGGCGCCCTAATAATAAGAAGAATGAAATTTGCATACTATTTCTGAAGTCATTAACTGTTGAACATATAAAAACATTTTTAACCGATTAATTTATTTTGCATCATTTCTATCAAAAGCAACCCTATCACAAGAATCATAAGCACTACTTTTCTGTGGTACTAGGTTTTTAAAGTCACACTTTTCTTTCGTTTTGTACCAAGTGTAGATAAATTATTCAAATGAAATTACAATTTCAGAAATTATAACAGAAAGAAATATAAAAAGTACTTTGTTTTAATCATTTTCTCATTAAGAATTAGTTGGAAGGAATATAGATGAGCATAAATTTGGCCAAACAGTTTCTTTATAAAATAGGCAAATTGTACCATAAAACGTTTTTGAAAATGTGTGCCAGGCAGTCTTTCAACTTCTTATGACTTGGTTACGTTTTGAAAATATATTTATAAATATACAAATATTCCAGTCTATTATTTTTTCCTATTATGATGAACAATTAAAATTTCCGACTTTGGGATAAATATGATCCACTTCTTAAAATAGGTGGGAAAAAAAGAGATTTTGGAGGCATGTTTGAAGCTCCAAAGCTTCCCAAAAACGAGTGAGAACAAAAGCACGCCCGTGTCCCGCCGCTAACCTCCTGTTCTGTTCCGCAGAGCGTCGTCGGACAAGCGGAAGCTGCACGTGAAGCGGCCGATGAACGCGTTCATGGTGTGGGCCCAGGCCGCTCGCCGGAAGCTGGCGGACCAGTACCCGCATCTCCACAACGCCGAGCTGAGCAAGACGCTGGGCAAGCTGTGGAGGTAAGGAAGGCGTGCTTACTCTTGTTTTGGGGAACTCGTTTTTATCACAGGCTTGCACCTCTGCATGTTCTCGGGGTTCCCATTTGTATACATTCTAAATGTTCGTGCTTCAATTAAAGATACATTTGTGAATCGTATCGCAATATATGTACAAACGAATTAAAATAAAAAGTTGTGCTGTCAAACCCAAGATAAAAAAATGTCTTTTACAACTTCAAAGAATCTATTTCTTACAAAATCGAAAACAATTACCAATTCTAATTCTACAAGCTTCAAGGTTTGAGAATAGTTTGTGGTAGAGTTAAAACAATTTTAACAATTATTCTAGTAATGAGACTCACCCCTATTAAATGCAGATCGTTTAAGACGGATTTTTTTACTCCAAAGTGATACACAGTAGAAACGTTTATATATTTTTGTTTTTTACCTTCAAACACAAGTTCTGTCCCACTGCATTAACAATTTTTCCTTTAAAATATAAAATCTGAAAGAGATCCTTAAAATATTAACAAATTGTGTAGTATTTATAGTCATTTATATCAATTGCTTCTAATGCGATTATTAAATTTAAGAACAAAATTTAAAATATTTCGTACTTTTCAATGAAAGTGAGATACATCAATACCTTTGTTTTCCAAACTAATGTCTTTCAAAGACATTCATATGTCATAAAACGGAGACATTCATATGTCATAAAAGGAGATAAAACATTGTGTATTCTGAGCTGTAAATCGTACATCATTATACACCACACGAAGTTTGTGGTGACCTGGAATATGGAATTCACCTGGAATATGGTTAACGTCAACATTATTTGGAGATCCTCTTTTTCATTTCATGCCAGGCAATAAATTCCTCATAATTTTACAAATTCTGTGAAATTTATATTGAAAAATAAATATTTAGTTAAATTATAAACATCTACTCTCTCAATACCGATTTAGAAAATAATGAACTAATTACCATTGTAATCACTAAATCAAATTTTAAACAACAAATCGTCCTAATACTGGTTTTCGACCTCGTCTTCGCCTTCGTCTTTGCCATCTGGTCAGACCCGCGCGGGCGTGGTAAACACTACGGATCTCGCAGACGCCTCTTTTCTTTCGCCTCCCACCCCCAAGGGGTCAGAGACCCCCTTCCCCGAGCGCGCACCAAACACTGGGTCAGACACTCAGGAAACACGGTCAAAATATTTGGAAGAAACCTTTTTAGCTGCAGTAAGACGAGTTTGCTTGGGCGTTAGGAAAAATTAAATATACCGTAACTTTGAAAATATTCTATGTAGAAATTTTCGAGATTGTTTTGAAATTACATTCCCAATTTCCAGTCCCACGTTTGAGTACAGTAATATTATTTTAGCATGACTGACCACCTATGTGTGACCGACCGCCCACGAGTTAAAGAGTCCGCAAAAGGTGAGCAGGCAGGTGTCTATCATTAGCTGTAGTACTTACTGACGGCTCCCCGTTTAGTTTGACATTTCTACAAACGATTACTACAACGTTTTAAAACAACCAAGAAGCTTGAAATCTAATTATGCAGGAGACATCTGCTAAAATATTGTTATTGTACAGTCGTCTCGCGGCACGTCTGGGACTGTTTATTCGTTTCTGTATAATTTTGTGCTAGGCTAGATCACACACATTGTTTAAATGATTGCGAATAATACATTTGCCCGGCGTTCATTCTTGTATCACTTTGTAACATTTCAAACTGTTTTTGATTTTTCATGTTTTTTATATATTTTTCTTGTTAATTTTATTTATTCTTCGCAATTGAATTAAGTATTTGGAATAATTGCATGACGACTACAGCTGTTAATTACACTAGATTTCCGATGTACAAAATACATTTTCTCACGTACTTTGCATTACTTCTTTTTTATTTCAGAAAAAAGCTTTTACATGTTGTGTTCGAGTGTTCGATCATTTTGTGGTGCAAATAGTAGTTGTTCGTGCTATTAGGTCGATAAGCATCAAGTCACAGGCACAGTTGAAGTTGGTAAATCATGGCGATGGCCACACTAACCCTAACTGTTATTTGTGTTATAGGCAGTGTATCATTCAATTCTTTTCGTAATACCATCTTTCTACAACAAACATCACACTTTTTCCTAACAATGGTAATAATTGTTTTTATGCGCCTTCTTTAGTTACAACTCATTTGTTCCGGTTGTTCTTAACGGACGGCGGGCTGTTCTGTCCTTAACGAGCGCAGTCCGTTAAAAGTGCTTTATCGTTTCTCTGTTTAGTTGAGATAAGTCGATATTTTAATAGTACAGTAGTACTACAAAGTTACAAGCCATGCATTTCATAATTTGCACCGGATCTCCATGATATCTGCTCGACTGTGTAGAGCGTCGAGAGCTCTCCGAGCACCCAAGTGCCCCAGAAATAAACAGCAAGACGAAACAGACTAGAAGGCGCGGACGGAGGCAGGTTTCAACTTCTTTTGGCGTTGCGAGTTTAGGCAGGCTGTTTGTGTAAATTCTGAAATACCACATTCCATGCGCGGTTTGTGGCACGAAAGGAAATCATAAAAATCTTGGGCAAACCGTATTTGTGTTTAACGTCAACTGTTTTCTAATAAACATACATCCCGTGTATTCTTTTCCGTTTTGGTTATTATCTAAGTAAAATACATTGGCGGCCCCTCGGGTGGCTTAGGGACAGCGTGCTTGTTCTCCGAGGTGCGGTTCCGTGTTCGATTTCTAGTCAGGGTACAAATTGAGCTGTAGTTTTCAAATGCAAATCGTCTGAGTTTCTATAGTAGCTGCGCGACAAATGAAAAATGTCAGGCTGACTAAGTAAGCTAGGTATGGCTATGGGAATTCGTCATGGTCGATACATGTCTGCCTTACCTCCAGGCGTGGAAAATTAATAAAAACCAGGGCCCAGGCCTGGGAAACCATCTAGTTGGATTAATCCGATCTTGAAATTGCAAATACTTACATTGCAAATTCCTGTAGAAGTTTATAAAATCCTTGAATATGAATGAATTCTATATATATATATATATATGTCTATCAACATTACGTATGAATGAATGAATAAATATCTATGGCCTCTGTAAATTAATGACTATGAAAATTAGAGAATAAGAAAACGTGATAAAATGAATCTTTTTGAAATGGAAATGCCCTATGCGAACATGTGCCTACATTCATGTCTGTGTGTCTTCACCAGTGCACCCATGTGTTCATTTATGAGAGTAGACAATTAATGGCACGGGGTGACACTCAATGACTTCCCGAAACGGAGAGCTCGAAGTGCGGATCGTGTTTGAACGTATCACATCACTAAGATGCCATCATTTATTTTATTAAAAGCCAGTAGAAAATCAACAATGATAAAGTAAACGGCGCTCGAAACTTTATTTGCTAAAAAATATAGACATCAAAAGTACCAGAAGAACCGAAAAAAGCATGAATGTTTTTCTATATATTTTCACATTATTTTAAGAAGCATTTTGTCTTTACTTGCAAATGTCAAAAGTGTAGCAACATATCAAAATGTATTAGCGTCATAATTTATAGAAATTTAGATTTGAGCGAATTCGTAATACTTTTAACTTTCCCAATTCAAAGATAGGCACAACAAAAATATTAATTCAATTAAACAAAGGGAAAACATAATTAACTAATCATAAACTGTTAAATTTAGTAACATGTGTACTTCAAAACGCATTATATTTTGTCATAATGAATACATTTTCATCTGTTGCTCCTCAAATGGGATTGCAGTATCTGCGTCATACTTTGCCGTGCATTATGCGTATTTACGGAAATACAATATCAAGTCATAAATATGATTCTTCTCTGATTTTTTGCTGCTTCCCTTGGCCGCGCCCACACACCCATGCGCTCATGTGCCCAAGCTCGCACGCTCCCGTCCCATGTGCCCGTCCGTCAGTGCGGCAGCCGCCGCCAGCCACAGCCCGGTCGCTGCATAGGCCCTCGAACCCAGCTGGCGCAAGCACACAGCGCCTAGGGCCCACGCCCAAGTTTGTTGAAGGAAACGGGAATTCTCGGAACACCATTTTTCCCTTTGTACATTTTGTAGATTTTTAAATGTATTCCGGTAGTTCTGTAAATATTTACGGATCTTTGAATGCAGTATAACAAAACTGTAATAACTCATCTGAATAGTGGTCGTTAAGTACCTTGCAGGAGAACATACGAAACCGTGCCTGTGGTTGCAAGATCAGATAAAAAATAGTGAGTATTGTCCCAAAAGGATGTCTCATACATATAAAAATAATTGAATACAATAAGCATCGAAATCGTGTTTTCAAAACTACGATTATCAGCTATCCAAGAACGTTAACGACTTTCTACAAACTTCTTGGTAAATAGGTAACATTCTAGCGCATTGCAGGTCCTATAAGTGAAATATCAAAGATCTGACGTTCAACATCCAAATGGATATGTTACATGCTTAACTCATGAAAATAAAATATTTTCGCTTACTCATTAAAACGATTCTCGATTAATTTTTTTATGAAAAAACAATCTGGATTTTTTTGAATTAAAGTTAGTGCAAAATATGTAATGACCATGTAATGTTTATAAATTAAATTATCTGAACTTTTGTGTTTTTTAGAATTCTTTATTTTTTCCTTTAGAGTTAAAAATTATAAATAGAACGTGATGAGTTTTTGTTGGTGAACAACAGATTGAAATAAATAGTTAACGTGGAGAAGCGAGCATAATCGCTTTACGGCTTTGACGTAAGATCGGCTTATCTTCAATACCAATATCTACGGCCTCTAGCAGCCAACGACCGCATACTACCTACTCGCGATATCCCAAACTCTAGAATGAACCCCGTGATGTCCAAATTCGAGACAATGACCTCCAACCGTTATCGATGCCAGTGACATTCATTTTCTGGGCAGACGTACGCCTCGAAATACTAGCAGTGAAGGTTATAGTTACGAGTACGGAGAAGCAGACCGCAGCCGGCTGTGATTTCCTCAGGGCCACTGAACACGTGCTC